TATATATATATATATATGTAGAAGCTACCATATGTCAAGTCGAATACAACATCTAACGTCTAACATCTGTCGTCGGCTGTCTAATGTTCAACATGCAGTTTTTTTATAATATAGTGTAGGCTAGTATAGTATGATGCAAAAGATATGGGCCGGCAAAACAATGGAACCTTATATCATGTAGTTTAGCTGTATGGAACACAAGATCTTGCAGTACAGTATTTCTACAAGCAAAGTCTAGTAAAGTACAGTATAACACGCTGCAGGCTATCATACCATATAAGACCATAAAAACATCATAGACTTGTATGCAATATTACAAATCGTATTCTAGCATGACATAGTGGAATATAACCAAATGCAATAGAATACGATACCATAGAGCATGACACACGATAATACGGGAAAGCATGACATACTATAACATAACAGAATATGATACATTATATCGTCAGGAAATACAATCTAACATGAAATATTGTAACGTGAGACCATATACATTACGTGTTGCGTCTTGAAATGCGGAGAGTAGAAGCAGACCTGAAGCGGGCCAGCATGGCCCATGCCAGGTGGAGATGGACAGCTGGCGGTCAGAATTACTGCGGAGGGACTTCGAAGAGAAGGCAGTGATTGGAGTCCAGGGCTCGCACAGCTGTACCTTTCTGTTCCCGATGTGATAGTCCGTTCAGTCTCGCAACCTCAGCACCAGAAAACTCCAAGTGGAGAATCTGCGAGGTCCTCCCGCGCTTCGTGCAGCTCATCGTGTCCGATGTCCAGGAGCAATCGTCAGAAGCCCGGATCGCCCGCTGTTGCCAATATGTGTCTGCGCATCTATGCGTCTGTGCATCTAAAATGTCGACATCGAGGCATCTGTGCAGCTACGCATGTATGCATGTATGCATGTTCGCATGTACGCGTGTACGTACGTAGGTAAGGTAGCTGGGAAGGTAAGCAGGCAGTTAGACAAGTATAGGCATGCGTGTATGTATGAACGTATACGTACGTACGTACGTACGTACGTACGTACGTACGTACGTAGGTAGGTAGGTAGGTAGGTAGGTAGGTAGGGTAGGTAAGACATATGAGTGTATAGATCCATCGCATGTTCGTTGCCTTACCTGTCTGCATGCCTCTGTGTGTCACTATACCTTTCACGTGTGTGTGTGTGTGTGCGCGCATGCGCGCGTGATGCATGCTCCAGTACGCCACGCAGTGTTCATGGACGGTACGGCACGCAGAGTTCATGGACGGTGAGGTGGACAGATGGGCATTCATACGTTTGCCCATGAAGAAACTGTGTAAGATGCGGCCAAGGTCGAGCACAGATCTTGTGAAGAGCATGATGGAGGCGGCACTGCTTGTGTGATTCTTCGGTTTAGGCTGCGAGGGTGAAAGAGTTAGAACCGTGTGCTGGGCACGGATCTGACAATAGGCTGTGTGTTTCTAGTGGTTTCGCCTTGCTCCAGTCTGTTCAAGATGTAACTGGGAACCAGAAGCAACAACTTCTGAAGCCAGGTCAATAGGATGAGCATGACCAGCAGATGCTTTCATGGAAACCACGCACGCCGGGTTCCAGGTTCAGTCTAGGCTCTGACGAGATGGGCGGACACGTGCAGAGATCGTGACTGCGAGGAGCTTGGCTCCATCTTCCGAGAGCGCCTTTCCGTGCCCTCGACGATTACGGGTTTGTCAGGTCTTTTCGATGGGACTTGATTAGGACATCCCTGCGGTTGCATTCACGTTCTGTTTTTTGGCATGTTCGCCAGCGGTAGAGAGCCAGCTTGGTGTCAAGGTGCCAGTGTAACACCCAAACGGATTACAGCCTTATGCGACTCTGATGGTGGATGCCACGACGATCTCCCTTATCATTGCATCTTGCGAACATGACAATCCTGCTCTTCCTGACCTCTCGTTGTCGTCCCAGGCACTTTTGTCAGCCCCGAATGCCGCTGCGGCAATGGCCGCGGCGAAGGCTGCAAAAGCAGCGTGAGACGTGGCCCTGTCTCACCAACATGTCCATTGTGACAAGTTGCTCTTTCTGCGGTACCGCCGACGGCGCCAAGGCCATGTCATGCCGTGGACTCTGCCAATTTGTCTGACTACTCATGACCCAGCTCGTAAGACAATCGTTCAGAGATGGATAGTCTGCCGAAGTTGAACATGAGCCCACACGTAGTCTTGCATGTTTCACGTAGGAATGGTAGGATTTTCAGTGCTGCCTGCACCATGTGCTGTAACCAGCTATTTTGCTGGGCATCAGGCATTGGCCAGCACGGCAACGTTCTGGGGAAAATGGAATTGGCCGGATGTGTGATGATCGACTGCATTGCAATTGAATGTGGGAGCATAAATTAGCCGAACATGCGTTTCGTGCGCTGCATGACTCTCGCAACCGATTCAACCACTTGCGAGCCAGCAGCTAGCATATCCCAACAGTCACAGACGACCGCATCACCAAATCCACCATTGCGCCCGTGCATGCCCTCGGCCCAAGTACTTCTCTCCGTGTTGCCGCCGGCAGCCACGTCCTACTTCGCAGCCGGATGCAGCCGAAGACGCCGCTGTTGGCTCCGTTTGCTGCTGTCTTGCTACTGCGCTCTGGGGCCTTGCGGATGCCCCACTGCCTCTGCTGCCTTACGCGCCCATCTGCAGTATGGAGGCCTGCCAGGACATTCGGCTTACTGTGCCGATATATGACGCACTCCAGTCATCCGGGACCGGGCTGCAGGCCACAGCACGTGTCCTCGACTGAAAACTTTGCCTGATCGGCTGATCTCTCTACAAGCAGCCGGTGAGCCTCAGAACAGACTCCTGAAGTTCACAGGGAATCCCGGTTTGTATTGTATTCGCATGGTTATTGTCCTTGCCAATAATTATGCATTTTTTCTCCTCTTCCAACATACCCACGGTTCGGTTGGCGCAATCTGGCCCCGAATTCCTCGGACCCAGCTGGTCCAAATCCCCGATCACAATCGAGACCCCAGCATTGTCTGGTTCCGTCTGAAGTTTTCTTCAGGGATCTCATGTTCGCTGGTCCAGCACACAAACTGCGCTTTCGCATGAGCCTGCTGACTAATGCACAATCTCTCAAGTTGCTGCGTGCGATTCGCTTGACGAACACCGTGTAATGGACATCGTTCAAATTGCTTGTAGCAGAGCAATTTGAACGATGATGTACGCAATTCCCCTGACGAACGAAGTGCAACTCACAATTCTGCAAGTTGCAGCGCGTGCGGCACTCTCGACGAACGATGTGTAATGCCCAATCTTTGAAGTTGCAGCCCCGCGCGGGTGCCTTGATGAACGACGTGTGATGCCCGCTGCGAGCACGGTTCCCCTGACGAACGACACGCATCGCACAGTCTTCAAGCTGCACGACCTTGGCCCGCCTGGCGAGGAGCCGTGTGCGCGGGCACGCGAGCGCGTGATCGCCGAAACGATCTACTTCCCCGCCGCAGCCATGTGCAGGCCCTTCCATGCAAGGGCAAAGGCAAGGCGGTGGGAGTGTAATCGCCGGCCCTGTCGGGATCGCAGCAAGCCACGCGCCTGCCTGCTGTCCAGCCTGGGATCGCAAGAGCGCTTGGGAACTGGGTGGGATGTCGGGCAGAAGCACGCGCTCGCGGAAGTGGGTATGAGAGTTCGCGTCGCGTGCATCTGCCAGCCATGTGGCCAGTCCCCTGGTCTTGGCCAGGTGTGAGGTGCTTCGTCGAGTGGCATGCCTCCCACGCAGGCCTGCAGCGTTTCCCAGATGCAGAATCCATGCAAAATCCCACAGCAAATGATTTGATGCAGCAAGCAGCGCATCACGCAGCTCTTTGAGGCTTTCGCGTGCAATGGTCTTGTAATCCATGGCAGCACATGACAACCAATCAAAGTCACTGATAAGGCGGATTGCGGTTCAGCTTCACAAGCTCTCACAAGGGAAGTGATGGGAAGTTGAAGCCCCGCTCAATGAGAAAACCTGCCCTGATGCTGTTTGGCAACTTCACCAAGGACCCCGCAGGATACAGCACGAGGATTACTTGCGATGGTGGCTTCCCAATCCGGCTTCGAAACCCAACGGCCGGCAAAATGCTTAAGAAAGATGGACTCCGCAGTCTCAGCAGCTGTAGTGCGCGCTTTCGAGACGTGCAGCTGCACCTTGCCATTGGGCCAAAATGCCACACCCAGTTTTGCCCTTGTAATGACGACCCACGGCATGGCGCTGTTCATCGTAACAGTCGTCGCGCCCAAGACCGCATGAATGCGACCGGTGATTCCGAAACCATCAAACATGCAAGCTGGCACTGACAATGGGAACTGCTTGTTTTGTTGATGCCAATTGATCCACATCTCGGCTCCCCTCACAAGGGCTCATCGCTGGCGGGGCATGTCGCATTGCATCGGAAAGCTTGAGGCCTTTCTCAGCATGGTTGTTTTTTTTTCACGCTTTTCAGCCCAAGTCTGCGGTCTTGAGCCTAGCCCCCATCTACCGGCATCTACGGGCAACAATGTACAGAAAGGGCAGCTGTAGAGCAAGGCAACTAAGTGAAGCAACTCAGTGTGCCTGCTCACTGCCTTCCTG